AAAAAAATTAAAAAATTCCTTCCTCAACCCCCCCCCCCCCCCCCCCCCTTCTTCTCCGTTTAGCACATCGGCGTCTAATTTCGAAAAGGAATTATGTCAAGAAATGTATGTCTCAAAAAGGAAATTTAGTTATAAAAACAAAATTTTCCTATAAGGGAGGGCGAAATTTTTGAGAAACAAACAAACAATTCTCATATATTTCCATACTATACGTATAGTTTTAGAGAGTGAAAACATTCATTTTTTGGCTGCTCGTCCCCCCCCCTCTTTTCATTTTCCATCTTTCTTATTCATCTTCGTCTCTTCTTGTTCAAAGCAAATCCGTATTTGACCATTTATGGCCATTTTATAATTCGGTACTTTCGAGATTTCCATTGTTTTAAGGTTTTTTTTGTATTTAATTCGCGATTAAATGCCATTAATGGCTGCCAGTCACACGAGTTCTAATTCGATTTTTTTTTAATTTTAAGGATTAATTGAATGAAAAAACTGTTTTTAACAAATTTCTCGTTCAAAAAAGAAATTTCGAATATTTATCGTTTTCCTTGCTTTGTCATCTGAGCAGCTTCATCGTTCTTGTTGTTCGAAACTGTCTAATCCCGCATTCTTTGTTTGTCTGATGATGTCATGATTCATTCTTCTTCTTCATTTGGTTGTTATCACTCCATTCGCACATGTACTCATGTGCTTTCTCCTGCCTTTCCCTCGTAACAGTATGAAGAGGTGAAGTGAAACAGAGAGAGGAGAGAGTGAGAGAGAGAGAATGGGCGAGTGAGTGAAAAGATGAGAAAATGAGGAGGAGGAGGTGGAGGAAAGATTCAAGAAGAAGCTGACGAGAATAAGGAATAGGTATTGAAAGAGAGAAGAAAGGAATTGAGTATCAACACGATAAAGAAACCCAAACTGACGTCTTCATCTGCTGTTCTCTCTTTTCAAGGAAAGACTTGTGCAGCATAATCTCCAGCTTACTTTACCTATGCTCTGCTCAAAGTTCCAAATATGTGCGTCTGTTTGGATGAATGACAGCGCCAACTTGCACCCGTTTCAACCACCTGTTTGTATGTGTGTGTGTGTGTGTCTGTGTGTAGAAAAAATTAATTTTTTTTTCATTTTTTTCATTTCCTTCAGTTCATAGCATTTCACATATGCTTCCTCAGTTTATATTATTTGAGTATAGTTTACTTGCTTAAATGAAAATATTATTTTTTCCTTTTAACATTGCATGTGCCATGACGTTATCTCTTGTTGCGTCTTCCTTACAAATTGCATTAACGAAACGTTGCATGAGCGACAAAAAGAAAAAAAAAACATTTTAATCACATTCCTCAAACTAAAGTTTCCATTTTTTATTTATTTTAATACAAAATAACCAACTTCTATTAGCTATTCTATCAGCATGCGCCATAATAGCCTCAGGCTATTATTCTTTTAACGTCTTGCATAGCAGCAGAGCATAGTTAAAAAACCCTTTGCACATACATACATACAAAGCAGTATTCTAAGAAAAGTTATATAAATGAAACATATCTTATTAATAATTATGTTAACCTCTCACGTTCATCATAACGTAATTGGTAATGCTGTTTCAAGTTTTTTGTTCTTCTCTTCTCGCCTTCTCTCCTGCTCCTTTCCGCATAATCAATCATAGGCTGCTGGATGGTTGCTTATCCATCCTTTATCCTACTATCCTTTTCAACATCGTCAAATATTTTGTTTAAGCTTTTCATGTCATTTATGACTTCACTTCTTATACTTTTATTGAAACTTCCAACAAAAACATTCTTTTAAAACAGATAAAACTTTTACTTTTTGCTTTTAAAATGCTCACGATCTCATTCCCACTTGTCCTTCATCCTTCTCCCCGTCACCCTTCCTTCCTTCTGCCTACCTCTCCGACCAGTCCATATGACTTCAGTTCAATCTCCTTCAAAGCCCATTGATGATTTATCTTTACGCTGAGCTTTTAACTTAATTTTTTTTGCTGTATTCAAAGCTGTGTACGAAACGTTTTTTTTCGCTGCTTCGCCAAAAATCTTCATGGGAGGCTGCTGGCCTTAGTAAAGTAAAATACTTCATCATTCTGCCATCTTCTCCATTACTGGTAGCCAATACTTTTTCAAGAGAATTTGCATCAGAATATTGTTAGAAGGTTGAAAGGAATAAAACAGATAGAGAGAGAGAGAGAGAGGGAAAGAGAATGTGAGAGATGGAGAAAGAGAGAGAGAGAGAGATTTGGAAAAGTAAATACCCTTCAGCTTCATAATATTATTTTGAATAACTATTTATAAGTAGTATAGTTTATTTACTATACATAAATATAGTAAATACATTTACATATGTAGTTTCAACCATATTCCTATCAAACTCCTTTTTCGTTCATCATTCTCTCTCTCTCTCTCTCTTCCTCTCTATCGCTCTATCTCTTTGTTGTCTACTCTAGTTTTCTCATAACTCTCACTCTCCCTCTCTTTCTCACTCTCTCTATCAGTTTAAAAGTTTATTTTAAGTTTTTTTTTCTCCTGCTCTGTCTGCCATTCCCTTACATCTCCAAAACTAGATTTTTGGTTTCATGGCCTGTCCATTTCACATCAAATGGACAGTCAATATTCAATACATTGAGCTTTTCATCTTTTAAAGTCTTTTATAATTGAATTCATTATGTTTTACAACAAAAAATAACTCCTGCTTTTCTGTTTTTCTCTCGAACACATTCTTCCAAACATCAGGTTCAAAAGTTTCAAATCATATTGTGGTTTCCCGCGCAACCTGCGTGGAACTGACGTGAACATTTGAGATTACTTATTGAACAGCTAGACGCACTGTTCGGTTGCTAATTTTTTTCTATTTTTTTTAATTCGTAACTAACATACTCTTTCTCTCTCTCAAACTTCATTCTTTCGTAACTCTCTCTCTCTCAATCTCTCTAGATATCTTATTCTTTGTGTTGTTTTCTCTTCATCACTCTGAAACTTTTCTCTTTCCTTTCAACTCAGCAAATAACCGTGTGAAAAAAAATTTCGTTTTGAGCTTAAACAAGACAAATAACAATTGAATCTTATCTTTTCCTAGTTCAATTGGTTCAATCTCGGTCCGTTTTTTTGATCGAATC